CGCCGTTTGAGTGTGCCTCCGGCGTGCCGGGCGTTCCTCGCTGGCGTTGCTCCGAATACGACTCGCGTGGGCGTCCCCACGTTGTGTCTCCCGAAGTAAGTCTCGCAGAGTGGTCGATGGCGTCCCGCAGGCTTGCTCGTTGCTAGCCGCCTTTCGCGCTAGCGTTCTTTGGGTCAAAAGTTCCGGACCTCTTGACCGCACGATCGGGGTCTCTCGGGGAGCCACCATCCTACTCCCACCTCGATCGTTCCGTGAACCTCCTAGCTTCACCCGAAGCGTAGGCAAGAGTCCCTCGGCTGTATCCCGTTGGGCAGGTTCGTAATCCTTTCGCCTCGAAGGCGCATCGGCTGGGTTGAGGCTGCCAGGCCGATATTCAATCTGGAAATCGTATGCCGCTAGGAGCTCGGCCCATCTGGCCTGGCGTTGATTCAGAGTCTTAGTGGTGTAGAAATATTTCAGATTCGCGTGATCTGTCTGCACGCGTATCGCGTGCGGGTTGCCTTCGAGGTAGTGGCGCCATACCTTGAAGCATTCTACTATGGCTAGTAGTTCTTGGTCATGAGTTTCGTACCTCCTCTCCGCCTCGATCAGCTTCCTCGAGTGGAAGGCCACGGGTTGCCAAGCGGCGCGCCGTGTCTTCGCGGACTGGGCGCCATCGCGTTGCATTAGGATTCCCGCAATTGCAAAACCTGATGCATCGGTTGCCAGGAGTATCTCTTGTTCCGGGTCAAAATGCCGCAGCGCTGGGGGTCCAGAGAACGCCTGCTTCAGCGCCTCAAAGGCGCTTCGACCGTTCTCTGTCATCTTGAAGGGGCCGCTCTTCCTCCCCTTTACCATCCCCTTTAGCATGTCGCTCAGTGGGGCGGTAATCTTGGAGTACTGGTAGATGAATCTTCGAAAATATCCCGTGAATCCCAGGAATACTTGAATGTCGTGGAACGAGCGTGGTTCCGGCCAGTCGCCCACGGTGCGCACCCGCTCGGGGTCTATTCGGATTCCTTTGATTCCCACAATGAAGCCAAGGAAATGTACTTCCTCCTGGTGAAAGTTGCACTTCGAAAGTTTTGCGTAGAGGTTATGCTTCCGGAGGCGCGACAGTACTTCGCCGACGTGGCGCTCGTGCTCTTCCTCCGTTTGTGAGTAGATCAGGATATCGTCCAGATATACTATGCAAAATTCATCCAGGATCCCCTTCATTGCTTCGTTGATGTATGCTTGAAAGGTAGCCGGGGCATTGCACAACCCAAAAGGCATGACTAGATATTCATAGTGTCCATACCTCGTGCGAAACGCCGTCTTCCACTCGTCGCCCCGACGGATGCGAATCCGGTGGTAGGCGTCTCGCAGATCCAGTTTAGTGAATCGTTTGGCTCCGACCAGTCGGTCCATTAGTTCGTCGATTCGTGGGAGGGGATATCGGTTCTTGATGGTAATTGCGTTCAGGCCCCTATAATCCACACAGAGCCGTAGCGACCCGTCGGCCTTTCGCACGAAAAGCACCGGCGCGCCCGCTGCGCTCGTTGAGGGCCGGATCCATCCTTTTTCCAACATTCGATCGATATACTCCCTCAAGGTCGCTAACTCCGTCCTTGACATACTATACAGCCGGCCCGTCGGTGGCGCTGCGCCGGCGACTAATGGTATGTCATGACTAGCTTTTTCAGAGGGGAGCGCCTCTGCCTCTTTCTCCGAGAATACCGATTTCCATTCTTCGTAGCATTTGGGGAGAGCCCCCGTCGCACCACTGTCGTCGCGTGGTTGGCTCAAGACCAGCATAGTGAGTCCTTGCCTCATCGTGCTCTTGAATCGCTTGGGCGATTCGATTTTGATCTTCAACTTTTTCCCTCGGTAGCGCCAGGTGTTCGCCGCCAAGGAGACGTCGGGGTCGACCGGGCTCAGCCAGCTGCGCCCTAGGATCAGTTGGTATTCTTTTTCTTCCAAATCTACTACATGGTATTCCATGTCGAATTCTCTAGTTTCGTCGAGGCTATCCGTGATTCGGCTCTTCGCCTGGAATCTCGCGTAGCACGGCGCCGTTGAGCCGTTAGCGAAACGCACGGGTTGCTCCATCTTTGTCTTGTCGAGGTTTATTCCTTCTTTAGCCAAGAAGCGGTAGGAGATAAAGTCCTCGTTCGCTCCAGTATCCATAAGCGCCCTTGTCGTGACCCATTTCTTGCCCACCAGGATGGCTACGGCGGCTAGGAGGGGTCCCGCCGGCGCCTCTTCGTCCTGTTGGAGCACTAGGGATTCTGGAGCATTCGACCGTCATTGGTCTTGGTCCTCTGATTCTCCTGCCCCCTCGGCGCCTTCTCTGCGCTGGGGGCATTTCCTTGCGATATGACCGGTTTGATTGCACTGGTAGCATCGGCCTTCCTTTCTTTGGTTCTGGCGGTTCCGCCACTCCTCCTTTGACTCTTTCCGCTGGAATTTGTTCGGTCGGGGGTTCGTTGCTTCGCCGTCATCTTTCTTTCTCTTCCTTGAGTCATCCTTCGACACACGAGACCCCAGGGGTTGGTTTGGTTGTATCCCATTTGGCTTTTCCTGCTTCTCTTGTTTCTGAAGTTTCTCGTACCTTGCCCCCAGTTCGGCGACTTCGGCTAGACTTCGCGGCGTCGTCGCGTCCCGCTGGATTTCCTTGCGCAATTCGGGCCGGGCCATTTGGATGGCTAGCTGGCAGAGGAATCCTTCAAGATCGGCTTCGATCATTGGGACGAACTCCTCCATCTGGGTTATCAGGGTTCGTATGCTCTGTTGTGGTCCTTGTCTCATGTGTAGGAGCCGGTGAGCCGCCGTCTGCCCGCGGTCTCTCTCTGGTTCTAGGAAGTTCCGCAGGAACTCAGTGAATTCTGAATAGGTGAGTCCTTCGGGGTTCGCTCCATGCTTAGAGCGCCACGCCTGCTTTACGTCGTCTTTCAGGCGACCCGTAGCGTAGCGGACCTTGGCCGCGTCGCTCTCATAGAGTTTCCCCTGCGACCCAAAGTAGTCTTGGAGGTCTTCCAGGAAGACACCAAGTTCCTTCAGGTTTCGTGCCTTGAAGAACTCGGGTTCGGGCACCTTCTCCCTACCCGTCTGCATGGCTTGCGCCATGTATTGGGCCATGCGCCACAGCTTATCGTCTTCCGTCAACTCGACGGGTTGGCGCTGGAGAGTCGCTGGTGCCGTTAAACCTTCCTCGATAATGGTTTCCGGAACCATGGTTGTAGATTCCATGGAGTTTGGATCCGCCACTCCTTGGGAGGAGGAGCGGGTAGTCCTTCTCGTACTCGCCATGTTGCTTCGCTTGGTAAAGAAGCACTTCGAATTGTAAGCGTCTCACTGGCGAGGCGCTTGGGTATGGGTAGTGTTGGTAAAGGAAGCAAAGCTACACGGAGTACGAGGATAGTAGGAAGGTACTGGAAGTAACAAAACGAAGTGCTTGTCTCTCAGCACTTCGGGGGTTATTGCGTTGCTATTTATGTTGCCTAGTCGAGTCGCCGGCGCGGCGCAGGCGACTCGAATGTTGCCGTTCTCCCGATTACCCTCGGTTACTGGGTATGTGGTTCGGCATGTGGTTCGGCATGTGGTTGCATGTCACGTGGTCGCCGTGACATAGTACCTTATAAACCCTAGTAAAGAATATTATACTAAAGTAGATTAATACCTATAATATTTGAAAAGAATAAATAAACTTGCCCTATAACTTAGAGATTTAGATAATTACCTGTTATATAATAATATCTTATTTATAGATAATTAGGACTAGAGAAGCTCACAAGGGTATATTATAAAGTTATTTAGAGGTATAATAGGGTAAAAAGCTAGTAAGTAAGTAACTATAATAATCTCTATAACTAAAGTAGAATTATTAGTATTATTATATATAGTAAAGAAAGGAATCTTTATTAAATATCTACTAGATAAAATTTAGGTAGAATTAGAGAATCTAACTATTAATATTTAATATAATAATATATAAACTATCTAATTAATAAATAAGGAAATTAACTACCTAAATATAAGGCTATGCCATATAGATATCTATAATTACTAGATTAGATAAAAAGTCTAGAAGGGAAGGATAAAAGTATTATATTATTCTATTACTAAGATAATTATAGATAGATTAACTAAGGTGCTATCCTACTAAAGCTTTAAGGTATTTATAAAGGATTTAGGGATAGTAGAAAGACTAAAGTTAATAGATAACCTACTACTAGATATAGTTTAAACCTATCTAGGATAAGGATGGCGTCTTAAATTATATAGTTATAGGTTCAAACTAGATGAAATCCTTTAAACCTGAGGGAGTATGTTAAATTAAAGGGGTATCTTGTGATGTACTTAGTAAGTAAAGGGGGGGTTATTACCCTATATTAAGGCCTTAGGCAAGCACACAACCCCCCAACAGACATACACACATCAATATATCCGATCACCTGCTTCCATTGAGCTACCCCTAGGATCATCATATATCCGACAGTGGTTGCATGTCACGTGGTCGCCGTGACAAAAGATAAGAAATTAATAAAAGGCTTTATATTTTTATATTTAAAATACTAATTATATAAAGATTAGTAAAGTAATTACTAGTTACTTTAAATTTAATTATTACTAAATTTATTATATAGAATATAGTAATAAAGCTAGTTATATAATTATAAAAGCTATATATAATTATTAAACTAGAATAATTTATAAAAAATATTATATCTTTATATATTAATTCTATAAATACTATTATATTAATAAAGAAGCTAAATTATATATTTATATTTTATTAAATAGATATTTACTATTTCTTTATTAAAGAAATAATTAAAAATAGTAGAATTTAATTATAAATAATTAATAGAGAGAATAATATTATTAATAAATTAATTAAGATACTACTAATTATAAAATTTAATAAATTTATTAAGAGGTTAGATTTTAGTAGGTTAGAGATAGACTCTAAATAGCTTTATAAAATAAATATATTACTAAGGAGGGTATATTAGAGTACTATACTTAATAAATATAACCAGCATTACTATAAAGTAGCATTACTATAAAGAAGAAGATAATAACATGTGACTATCTAGTATATTTAAGCCACTGTTTCCTTCTAGATCTCCATGCTTCTTCCAAGCATCTCTCCTTCTCTCTATTTCCTAGTTAGACCCAATTGAATCCATTTCGGTCAACTCTCTACCATCATAGTTTGACGACCTTCATCACTATATAAACGAGTCATGATTATAAGAAAAGAAAGAAATTTCACGGCATATTTTCTTGCTTTTATAAATTGGAAAATATTGTCCAGAAATAAAGCAAAGCAGATTGACCTGTGATCTTAATTTACTCTGCATGTACTGTACAGATGGCATACAGTCGCCATAACTTGTTAATCATAAGCGAATTCTCAGCCAAACACCACAGTACGCACTTCAATACTCTCCCTCGGCTTTGCATTCTGCGGCGAGCGAGGATCGTGAAATGCGGAATGTGGCACTCTTGCAGCAACCCCTTCCTTACTATCTGAGCATTTGATAAGAATCCGTTCATCATCATCCACCCCTGACCAGTACAACCACTTCTGTTCAGCGTTGAACTTAACTCCCATGGTTTCACCTGTGTAGTTAGGATATCGCCGCTGGATAGCAGAAAGATCCCCGGGCTTCACAGAGGTAGCAGTGGCAAAAGCCAGCGGCATCGATTCCACCTTGCCATTCAAGGGGCGCCACACATTAATGATCCTATATCGACCCTGGAGCAGCTTTTCCGTCTCCTCGGGATCGTTGATACTGTGGCGCACGCGCTGTTCCGCGGCGTACGGCGTTTGATCCACATGCGCAAAGCTCACAGGCTGTCGATGAGAATTGGGGTGATGTCTGCGAATTGTGTGGTCGAAAATGACGACCTTCTGTGCGCCGGCCACGTTTTCAAGGAGAAATTTCTCAATCTCCGCATAGTATGTTGTTCGTACTGTCTCGTCCGAGTCAAACGCCTCATACGACATAGCGGAAGGGACTTGCTGATACAGTTGAAACGCATCCTTGTCTAAGTTGTATTCGGCTTCGTGTCCGCGAACATCCTGCACGGAAACAGTATGGGTGACCTCTGTATAATTTTGTTGAGGCTGGCCTGCTGGGGGGTTCTCCACGTATGCAAAAGGCGCGGAACCATCTGCGGGGGGGGACAGGAAGTTGATTTGGGCGTTCACCTCGCCGTGGGGTTGTTGGAAAGTTGAATTAGCCATGACTGTGACTAGATGAGTAGTAGTTGAGTGATGAGTACTGTAGAAGAAATTGGTTCACTGCTATCGGTGTTTGTACCATTTTATAGGGCTGGAGTGTGTGCCTTGACAAATCCCGCATCCAGGGCATTAATAATCTTTGGTATTGCGATATCATGAGATGACAAATGAACCCTGTGGTGCATTAACTTTGAGATAATTCCGAAAGGAAAAATCTAGTAAATCCTTTTTGTATTGCTTAGGAGTCATATTCCACGTCATAGAATTTATTGTGCCGATGTAGGGTTAGAGATACTAAGTAAGACCAGACTCCCATGCCGATCTACTGTGGCAAATTGAGGGAGCGCATTACTGGACCTGGAAGTATGCTTTCACTGAGAAGGTTCTATGGAGGATCTTAATACTTTATTCTAATACCCAGCGCCGACGCAGTGGCCTCCATGTGAATGCGGTATATCATGCCTGTTACGATTCTGTCAACTTTACCGTTAAGCTAAAAAGGTGTCAAGACGGTCATTTCTAGCTGATACAGTATTATATTGGCCCACAGATTAGCTAGAAATGACCGTCTTGACACCTTTTTAGCTGAACGGTAAAGTTGACATATTATAACGTGGCTGTGGTATTCCTGATACAAGGCTAAGTGGGCAGCTGCTCATTTACATGAGATTAACCGTTCCATAATAATGATGCCCTCTTTCCCCTCTTCGATGGCCATGTTCGACAGATCGTACGCCGGATGTGGAAGATGCCCGGGCAGATTTCGTACAGTGCTTGCTGTGAGTTCAACTGACCTTGACGCCAGAGTTGAGGATACGCTGTGGAAGGAATTCCCCTTTTATGAAGTGGTATGCATAAATTCCCCAACCCATATTACTAGGCAATAATGCCGCTTGAGCTCCTCAGTGAAACCTCCCTTGATAGCTTTATAGTCTCCCTTGACAACGATTCCGAGGGGTACTCTTCCTTTGTGCCCTTATGCGCAGGCTCTGGTACACAGTAACAGTGCACTTCAACAGGTGAGCAGATGAGGACTAGTAAGTAACCGTTGTCGGAAAATTTGGGGCTTATTGAGTCCTCTGCCGGCCACTTGAATGAAAGTCGGTCCACCTATCGGCATTTATGGATTCTTCACACCACCCCGGGCGGATACAGCCCGCTGAATCAAGAGTTTCTCCAGGCCACCAATGATGGCGAAACAGCTTGCGAGGTTTATACTAGCTGTCATGCATATAGCTTGAAAGGAAGTGGCCCAGAACGCCACAGGGGTCAGGAAGGAGGCCCAGGTGTCCCAGTATCAGCCATGAGTTTCATGAAGACCTATAAAGCGGAGGACATGGCTCCCAACTGCTCCTCATATACCATTCCTAAGCTTGCATTTCGAAGGACGCCTGAGAATGCAGTCAGTTATGATGAAGCTCAAATTGTTGTTTGCAGCTGCGGCGCTGGTCTCCAACGTCCGTGCTGTGAGTGTCTCTGGAGCTGCAGAGGGCTTCGCCAAGGGGGTTACTGGAGGTGGCAGCGCAACACCTGTGTACCCTAGTACCACTGCTGAGCTGGTTTCTTACCTGGGAGACAGCTCGGCGCGTGTGATCGTTCTCACCAAGACGTATGTAGATGCCTGAGACGGTTTCTATACATGCTAACGCTACGATAGATTTGACTTTACTGGGACTGAAGGCACTACCACAGGCACTGGATGCGCACCGTGGGGGACTGCATCTGCTTGTCAGGTGGCGATCAACTTGAACAGTTGGTGCACGAACTATCAGTCGAGTGCGCCGTCGGTTTCGGTCAGCTAGTGAGAATTATCTGCCCCCGATTCATTTCAGCCCAAGCAAAGAAAGGCTGACCTCTATGGAGCGATAACGCCGGTATCCTCGGAATCACCGTGAACTCGGACAAGACCTTGCTTGGTTCAGGTTCTAGTGGTGTTATTAAAGGCAAGGGCCTGCGCATTGTCAGTGGAGCAAACAATATTATTATCCAGCAAGTACTTTCCTAGACATTTATTCTCTCGTTCGCGACTAATCCTCGCAATAGAAACGTCGCTATCACGGATATTAACCCGAAGTATGTGTGGGGCGGCGATGCAATCACTCTCAATGACGCAGATATGGTGTGGATTGATCATGTCACTGTATGTGGATACCTTTTGGAAGACCCCCTGGTGAAGTAAAGTGGATAGCTAAACTTTAGGCACCCCAGACTGCTCGCATTGGGCGTCAGCATCTTGTCCTCGGAACCAGTGCTTCAAACCGGGTTACTATCTCCAACTCATACTTCAATGGTGTCAGCTCATACTCCGCTACCTGTGACGGATACCACTATTGGGGCATCTACCTGGATGGATCGAGTGATCTGGTCACCATGAAAGGAAACTACATCTACCGCATGAGTGGCCGCAGCCCCAAGATCCAGGGAAATACCCTTCTCCATGCGGTGAGTTTCCTAGAATGAAAGGGATGTCACAGCTCTAACTGCGACTAGGTGAACAACTACTGGTATGACTCGTCGGGCCATGCCTTTGAGATCGGATCGGGTGGATACGTTCTGGCCGAGGGCAACGTGTTCCAGAATATCCCTACTATCGTGCAATCCCCGGTGGACGGCCAGCTCTTTACCTCTCCCGATTCGACCACTAATCAGGTTTGCTCGACGTATCTGGGCCATGTTTGCCAGGTAAACGGCTTTGGCACGTCTGGCACATTTAGTCAGAGCGACACCGGCTTCCTGTCAAACTTCCAGGGCAAGAACATTGCGTCTGCCTCGGCCTATAGCGTCGTCCAGACCAGCGTTCCATCGAATGCGGGCCAGGGCAAGCTGTAGGAGACTTAACTTCTGCTAGCAGAGTCTTCATCACTAAGGGGGGAACGGCTAGTCAAGGAATGTGAATTCTCAATGGTGGAAGAACTAGTTAGTTACCAATTGCTATCGGCTATTCTTCCCTTTAGGTCTTGCTTGTTTAGTTGAAGCAGGATAATCAATCAACGCGGGGAAGGTCTCCTAGCTGAAATGTATAGCAGAGTAGTTGTCTATTCCGTAATATCCCCGTTTCGTTTTGCAATTTATTCCTGGCATGTGGCGTTCCAGCCGGAAACTTGAACGGTAACGGCCAGAGCCTTCGAACTAGTATAATGAGGGTACGACGTTTACACTACGCTTAGAATGGCTTTTTCCAAGAGTCTCTTGGTGCGGAAAAGCCAAGGACTCCGGATATAATATCAACATTAAGAACGGCCGAAATTTGAAACTCGACGGGGTGTAAGAGGCGTTCAAACAAAGCCCTTGATCTCGGTTGACTTCGGATCTATCCTCTTTATTTAGCTTGCTCCCGGAGACGTTACAAGTAAGAGCTAAGCTGCCAAGGCACCGGCTTACAGTAGGGGACAAAGTCCGCGGGAGAAGTGTTTGAACCGGATTCGTGGCGTATAAATTTCCGTGATGGGTTTGGCAGTATAATTGCTATCCCCTAAGACAGTCGAATGAGAAGGCTGTAGAGAATAGATCTTTCAATGTCTGATGCCACCAAGGCTAATGTCATTTGCAGATCTATGGTGATCCCAGCGGCATCGATATACCATGCAAACCAAGGCATCAATGAGATATCTGTCTTGTTTCTCGAACATGCCAGAGTATGTCAAGTGTTATCTTATGAACCTCACCCCACGCGGAACGGTGCGAGGAAGTAATGCCCATGGCGCGAATGTTGGTGGGAAAAGTCTACCCATTGCGCGTAAGGATGTCTTGCCGGAAAGTTCATATGGCTATTCATGACTATTTCAAGTCGTACAAAAGATGACATTCAGTTCAGCGCAATTAAAAGACCACCACTCTGGGTACTTGACTTGCGGGAAGTTGCCGCTGTGGGGTGGGATGGATTTTTCACGAGTTTTATTCGACAACACCCGTGGAATCTCAAGATAAAACTGGATTCACTCGGAGCAATTGATCGTTGCAACCGCGGCCCTTGCGGGATATTTTCCGGACCTCCGAATTCACGTCTCTTGAACATTCCTTTTGCTTCCAATCTATGCGATTTTCCATCCGTCCCCACTGTGGATTCCGGAAACGCGGACACCTTATTGAAAGAACAAGTAGGACGGTGTAACTGGAGCACACCCCACATGAGGATTACAAATGATTACAAATGATTATAAATAGCAAGGTCTATCAGGATAATGTTATAACGATAAGGAACCGCTGTCATTTGCAAGATCAACGAAATCGTGTTTGTTGAAAGTCCTAATTGTCGTCACCATGGCTCCATTCGGTACCATCTATAGCTACCCCAACAACCCTAGGGTCGGGAAGGTAAGAACCTTACATTGCTTCAATGAATTGGGCTCATGCAGAAAGTACTAGGTCCTAGCGGTGGCCAATTTGAACAACCTCGAAATCGAGGTTCCGCCATTCCAAATGGGCGTAACAAACCGCACCCCGGAATTTCTCGCCAAGTTCCCCATGGGCAAGGTGCCGGCCTTTTCAGCGGCCGACGGTACCAATATCTTCGAATCTGACGCCATTGCGCAGTTTGTGGCAGAGAGCGGCCCGGCTGCTGGTCAGCTCGTTGGTTCCACGCCAGCTGAGCGCGCCGTCATCCGCCAGTGGATTGCTATGGCAGACAACGAAATTGGTTTGAATATCGTTCTGCTTGTCTTGCCTCGCATTGGAGTGTCCAAGTTCGACGAAGCCACGGAGGCTGCGGCTCTCGAGAGGCTGGAGCGCGGCTTAGCATGCCTGGATAAGCATCTCGCTGGCAGCACATGGATTGCACCACAGGAAAAGCTTAGTTTGGCTGATATCACTCTGGCCGCGGCACTTTCCTGGGGATATGCCATGATTATTGACGCAGAAATGAGGGCCAAGTACCCGGCCCTTCTAGCATGGTATAAGAAGACCATGGATAGCGAGGGTGTCAAGGGGGCTTTTGGAGAGCTGAAGTTCATTGAGAAACGCGAGATTCCTCAGTAAATGCAAGGGGTCAAAATGACACATACGAAGTCCTGTATATAGTTTATGAACATCAATTGATCAACCTTCAGTTCTTTGAGAGGCTGTGCATATCAGAAGGTTGTGGCGGCAATATAGTGCCATTTTTGGCTTTTTTGCTACCTGGAAAATGCTGGCCGGTGGTTATCAAAAGCTTCTTTTAAAAGGATCAACAGTGGAGTGGTTGATTTGCAAGGATTAAACCCTAGCCAGTGGGACCAACATGGAATACAGTCAGAATCTTAAACGGCTTTGCTACCCTATTATCGACCAAGACAATACTCGGGACCCTGACCTGCCAATTGCCCCTAGATCATGCACACCGATACGGGATGAAAGCTTGCAGTGGTAGACACAGTATCGTACCTGATCTATGACGACCACATTCAACGTCCGGCAGTCACAGATATTATTGAATGACTGCGAGCCCTCATGCCCTCAACGAAAGAGTAGATTTACAACCCTCGCAGTCTACTGCTCATCTGGATGCGTCATTATTCACGATTTAACAACGTTAGGGACGGAGATGTACTTCCTCTTGGATATGCTGCAGATGAACACCAGTGTGACCCATCCTCAGGATTATTAGAAATTTCTCCTAGGATCGGGAATATTTTCTGGTCATCACTAGCTGCAGTGTTTCTTATCTCCCTGCGGGGAATATTGCTGATTTTACGTGATGTGATGCCTTACAAAGTTCTGTATATCGAGATTTTCGGCTAAAATGAAGAAAAGTGCGTTTCAATAGCTTCATAGAATCCGGCGGGATGCGTTCAGTAGTAAAGGATGGACAATAGGACATGAGTCTCTGCGCTTGTGGTTGGGTTCACTGCAATGCCTCTCTTTTCGGCCCCCGCGAAGGGATTGAAAAGCGAGGATGAAGCCAAAATACTGCCAGTGTGGATATATGTATATATATCTACATGCGTTATGCCGGGTCCAGGCAACATAGTAGAGGAAAAATGAGAGCAGTGCTCGGAATCGACCATGTCGCAGCAGTGTCAAGTGGGAATATATCAGGGATGATACGTCTGAAGACACAACTAAGGATCATACATATGCAGCTGAAAAGCAAACCCCGCTTTATCGAAAAAATCCCACTCGGCATTTCGGATCTAGAGGAGGGGTAAATAACAGATAGGATTTCTCCTGCTGAAATTCCACCGTTGCTTCGACTACAATATTAGCACAGTGCACTATGGCTCTTTCCGGGTCAGCTATTCAAAGTCTCCGAGAGGCCCTTGTCTCCTCCACAGTATACACCCCCGGCCAGGATGGCTACCGGGAAGCCCTCGCGAGATGGTCTGACACTGGAATAAAGCAGGCAGTATGTTCTGTCGCCACGACAATTATTTTATTTTGATATAAGTAACCATTTCGCAGGGAATTGTTGTTCAGCCAGCGGATGCGAACGACGTCCGTACCTTGCTCTTGTGGGCTCAGCAACAGGACATTGACTTGGCTGTTAAGTGTGGAGGTCACTCGGTTAGCGGTACCAGCTCCAGCGAGGGCGGACTGGTTATCGATCTCTCCCGGATGAAAAATGTCCGCGTCAATTTAGCTGACAAGACAGTCACTGTGGGAGGTGGAGCTACGTGGAGGGACGTTGATGAAGCTGCAGCAGAGTATGGACTGGCCGCGGTTGGAGGTACCGTGAACCATACCGGGGTAGGTGGGCTCACGCTGGGAGGAGGCTACGGTTGGCTGAGTGGGATGTACGGCCTGACCATCGATAACCTGCTCGCTGCAACCGTGGTGCTGGCGAATGGCGATGTTGTTACCACTTCGGCCACCGAGAATCCAGATTTATTCTGGGGCCTCCGTGGTGCCGGGTACAACTTTGGCGTTGTCGTCGAGTTCACCTACCAAGCCTACGAACAGAAAGAGCCCGTGTACGCGGGTATTCTAGCATTTACCCCGGATAAAGTGGAAGCAGTAGTCGAGGTGCTTAACAAACTACTCCTGGATACCCCCGACCCACGCGCAGGAGCCATGTGCATCTTTGCCCAACCGCGCGGCGCACCCGTGCCCATGGCTAATCTGGTTATTTTCTTCAACGGAGCCCACGAAGAGGGCGAGAAACATTTTGCAGCATTACTTGCTCTGGGCCCGGTAGTGAATACTGCCGGAATGATGCCGTACTCCCAGGTCAACGCCCTCCAGAATCCGATGGCCACCTATGGCGACCGTAAGTCGTTCAAGGGTGTTTTCTTCCACCCACCGCTCTCCCCAGCGTTTGCACGTACCATGCTGGATGACTTCACAGCGAAGGTCCAGGAAGATCCAGATCTAGGTGCATCGGCGCTACTTTTGGAATTCTATGACATGGGAAAAGTCTGTGAAGTTCCTCGCAACTCAATGGCATTTGCCAGCCGCGGCAGCACGCAAAATGGAATTATAACACTCCGCTGGACTGACGCCAGCAAGGACCAACAGAATCGAGCTTGGGCGAGAGAGATGCAAGCACGTTGGAAACAGAATCTGGAAGGAAGCGTTACGCCAGAACTGAAGCCAGAAGTCCCACAGTACATCAATTACGCAGAGCGTAAGTTGACTTTTTCCCCTGCCTTTTTTGATCGGCGTGGGGATATTAATGCTGACGATCGTAGCTGGCGATTCAGTGGTGACAAATATCTATGGCGAGAATCTGGCTAAACTACAGGAGCTGAAGGCTAAGTATGATCCGAAGAATGTCTTTTGCAAGATGCATCCAATCAAATTCAGTGATTAGATAGGTTGGTAGAGAATATAAGTTAAATTATTCCCTATTTCAATACTGTTGGTACATGACTGCTAAAAGCGTAGCAGTGCCTGACCAGCGTCGTCTACTCCGTATAAACACCGGTGCTCTCTTTCTAGCCGGCAGTGAATAGAGGCGTTTAATACGGGCGCAATAATTATCCGCAGGAGGCCTGATCAGCGTGAGATCCATGTTATGATGAGTTCTCCCCGCTGGTAGGCTGAGCCAGGCTGCACAGCCCTATACTATTTGTCTCACTGGCAAACTATACATTGGCTGTCTTCGTGTCTTCTTCGAGATCTGTGGCGCGCCTAAGCTGGTTGATTATCATACTGGAATGTCACCCTTACATCTAGCCGTGAAACATATCCAGTCGATTTTACTGACATTCGATGTGAGTGCGCGACGTCAAAGCAGTATCCAATGGGCCAAATTTAGAATACAATATCCGCAGTGATTGAATTTCACTGGAAGTCGAGGATATATAAAGACAACTTTCAATAGCCCAAAATGTTCTTATCAATATAACAACCAAAGCGCAATACTAAAGCCTCAAACGCCGACTTGACAATACCACTACGCAAAACTTTTTTGTCCTTTCTTCCAACTTCAAATCAAAATGAAGGGCTCTATCTTTGCTACGGCTTGCACTACACTACTCATGGCTCTAGCCACCGCTACCCCGACTGAGAAGCGTGTCTTTGATGTATCCATCACCTTCCACGGTGCTGATAACCAGTCATACACCATGTTATTCCCGGCTGACATAAACTCTGTGAAAATTGGTATATCCCGAATCATGACAACTTAAATACGGAGAGGATTTGGCTCTGACTGATCATAGACAACCCCATGGTGGTCCACAGCATCTCCTCCCCTGGAGGTGGATTCTGCACTCTTACCGGAACTGAAGGAGAGACTGTTGTTATTTATGCCGAGGATGAACAGACTCTGAAGACTCCTCAGCCGATGGCTTGGGGAGCTTGTGACAACAACTAAGATTTGTGTGAATTAGCTGGATTATTAGATTGGACACGCGTGGGCATTATAAGGAGTTGTCGGAGGGAGAAGTATTGCTTCATCGCCCAGATCTCCTGGGGAATATTTCGCTTGAGTTGTATTATAGTAACTCAAATCGAGCCTCATTGTAAAATTTGCCATGCCCCCGGGATTTGCCCCGTATACGGAGTACGATATCCACTACAGGTAGAGGCAGGATTGGATCTGACTTCTAGGCAGCACTGCCACTTCCACATCGCTAGGGCTTGACTCACAAATACTCCATAACAATGATCTCTGCTACAAAGTAAAAGGGTGACTCATCTCGATGCTAAGCCTCAAAGAAATTCGGACTCACTTCCAATACTTAAACAGTGTGTTTGTGGTCTTGTAGTCTTCTTCTCCCGGTGCTGTTAAGTGTGCCCGAGAAACCCATCATGGAGGAATACGACCTGCTCATCGTCGCGGATGCGACATACTCGATGAACGACTATCTCGCCTCTCTGCATATTTCACTTCCGCAGATTATTTCTATCTCCGCTCTTACTGGGTGTTTCTCGAGAATAGGAATCATCGCCTACCGCGACTACTCCGACTCTAGGTACCTCGAATTCTCAGGGTGGATGAACCAAACTCCTAGAGTTAATCACAAGGCGCAACCCGACCTTGTGGCTTTCGCGCGGAGGATAGAGGCCAGGGGTGGTGGTGACTTTCCAGAGGCTGTTAAGACTGCTCTAGCCAAAGCATACTCTGAGATGCGACCGAATGCGCAGACATTGATTCTCTTATATACGGATGCACCTCCACATACTATAGACCTTGATGCTGATGCCTACGACAATGCTGCGAGGGAGAAGAACGCGCTTTCGGATCCTACTTCATATAAGGGGGCTGGTCCACTGTTTATGGATTGGGTATCCGCCACTGGTACTCTCGCTACTGGAGAAAAGCGTGCGCAGGTTTTCGCTGTCCTTGAATGTGGTATGAGGCCCCATACTGTGCCATACTATAACTTTCTTTGCACGCGAACAGGCGGGGCCTGTATCATGCTCGATAGCTCGGATCCAGAATCCATTTCTAAAACAACAGTAGAGCTCCTTCTATCATGGATGCAGGTTGAGAAAGCCACACTTGCAGACCCAGCTCAAACTTTGCGTGGACAGCTCTGTCGCTACAATTCTACTAAAGGTATAGAGGATCTCAAGGATGACGAGGACCCGAAATCGCGGGACTTTTTTCCTTTCCCATATTCCAAGCCTGCGCCCGCGTTGAATAACACAAGGAAGGTCAAGCTGAATATGGCTGTTGTAAAAGAAAGCCTGCCTAAGAAGCCGACTCCGGCGCTTGATCCTGCAGAACGTTGGTCTAAGGATGTAGCGTACCAGCAAAGTGCGTCACAACATTTGATGAGAATTATCGAGGAAGATATCGATGCAATTACAATCAATCCCGTGTTTGGCAGTCTCTGGAGAGCTGTCTCTAGCGACAGAAGCAACCCCCAGCGAGATATGTTGATTGAGGCGTTTGGCAAACAGGTGGAGCGCCTTCCCAATGGCGACAGGAAGGAAAAAATGAAGCAATGGTTGGAAGAGTCTTACAACTTCTCTGCAGAGATCCTGTCCATCATCGATCGTGTCCCGGCAACGGAGCGATTCCCGTGTGTATTCCGGGACCCAACAGTCAACTTCTCGCAGGTAGCGACTGGTTCAGGAGGCGAAGCAGACAATAAGACTGTTACTCAGTTGACTAGATCTGAGCTTCTAGAAATTGGCAGATCTTGTGACCCCCGAGTTTTGCGCCGTCTGGGGGGAATTCTCACTTGTCTTACTTATGTTGAAAATGCAAGCCAGATGCCCGAGCACATATCTAGAGCAAGCAAGGAGCAGGTTCCCATGATACCGCTCGCGCTGTCGACTGAAACTTATAATCGGCAGTTCTGGAAAATCCTCCTTCATACCATCGTGCCTGGCACAATGTTGACGGGCCGTGCTGCGGCCCTTCTCGCGGCTCTTGCCCTCCGCTTAGGAATCAAGCCGCTTGCTGAGGCGGCAGGGCGCGAGATGTCCAGCTTTAGGAACAAATGGAACACCGTGGACATTCCGGAAACCTGGGCAGTCAGCTGCTTGACACTGCTGCTGGAAGCCAATGCAGCATATCAGAAGGAACTAAATGAGCAGCAAGAAGAGCCAGGCAAACAACGATCTCTTTTGAATGACAAAGATATCCTTTTATTCAAGCAACTGGTAGCTTTCAAAACTCTTGAATACAATCTTGATACCCCTCTGATCGCTCGTGTTGCATGGACACCTGACAAGTCAGTTTCCACAATCGGACCTTTAGTGACATGTCAGAAGTGTCAATATCCCAGATCCGTGACCATAATGGGACCAGACGGGCAATGTGGAATCTGCCTCGCCCAATTCCAGACACCTGAGGAGTACGAGACAGCCGTCAATGCGCAGGTTGCTCGTGGAATAACTGCCGAGTCCAAGGCTACCTGGGTAGAATGTGCTATAACGTCATGCCGAGCGCAGTACGTTGTCTACAATGTTGAAGACCTCAGAGTTCGCCCAAAGTGCCACTACTGTAGGTTTGGGAAAGAGCTCGCCCCAGTTGTTGAGTGTAAGCTGTGTCTGAATCGTATGATTTGGCCAAGCATATATCGACCGCCGTCCTTCAACCGGTGTGAATTTGTTTGTCCCGCCTGCACCTCTGGCCCGGAGGCCGATGAAGATATTGAAACGACCGCGAGGAAACTCGCCCTAGAGAATACGATGTCCTGGCTGGTACGAGACCTCGAGGATCAAGAAACCTCTCCGTTCACAAATCGTTCTCCCTTCCATACCATATCCACCATGGGAACCGAAGGATTCATGCGTCGCATCCGCCTCTTCCCTGAGCTCGTTGCCCCCCTGACTCAAAGGAGAAAGCAGATTCGTAATTCTCATGCTTTAATATCCACCCTCAAGGGCCTTGTAGCCAGTCGAAAGACTGCCAAGACACACTGCTCTCTATGCTTTTCTGAATTCCGGCCCGCTGCTCTGGCTCTCGCGTGCGGCCGACGAGGCTGTCTCCAGCAAATTTGTGCTTCTTGCTCAGCTGCATGGTATGGGAGTAACGCGTGCGGGCGCATCATTAACACTGCGGCGCTTGGCTGTCCCTTCTGCCGACGACTACCAACCCCGCGCGTACTCACCAAGTACGGAAATGGAATCCACGCTGTCAGGGATCTCACTCGCGCTGTCCAGGACTCGGGTACTTGGATCCACGCATGGTGCTCGGAATGTTTCACGGCAAAGGAGTATATGGGACGAAGCTGTGCTCGTGGCATGCCACCCGAGATCACTGATTGGAAATGTGAGAGTTGTCTTGAGGAGTTGCGCAGGAGGGATGAACAACAAGCGCAGGACGCAGAAGCAGAGAGGATCAGCAAGATCAAGCCATGCCCGAAATGCGGAACTATGACGGAAAGGATCTCGGGGTGTGGTCATATCACCTGTGAAGTAGAAGAGTGCGGCGCTGAGTGGTGCTATTTTTGCGGAAAGGCATACTCGGAGGACCAGATTTACAATCACATGGACGAGGTTCATGGGGGGATCTATTGCGAGGATGATGAGGGTGGTGAGGATGGTGACTATGATGAGGATGAATGATTTGATACCCATAAATAGGACGCACATATCTCGTTATTGTTATTTTAACACTGCCAGTTTATTGTTACCTGAACTCCAGGTCAAAATTCCAGAAAAAGCCAGAGATTAAGATCACTTTTTCAATAATTCACGACTTTATCCATGCGTCTTGCAAGTAGTCTACCTGATGCATAGTAACAGTATAAGCTGCTCCGGTTCCCGGGAGATCTTCATGGTACAAGAGTAAGCGAATCAGTCTGGGATTGCTGGAAGCTTGGCGTCAAGCATTTTGATTCGTATTCTTATAGAGCCCACTTAGTATCGTATGTTAAACAGCAGCTGAAATGGATTGCGGGCTGGAAACCGGACTGTTTCAAGCTGCCCTCCTCTCCACATATTCATCGAGAGTCGTAATTTACAGATCAAGGAATTTCCACTAGCTAAATCCACCGGAGAAGGGCCATCCCTTGTCCAAAGTATCAAGAAGCAAATACACCTAAGCCTCCTTGAGTATTCTTGGTGAACCCCACATCATATCAGCTTGCAAACGAACGTCGGCAGTAGGGTACAGGTTTTGGCCTTTATCCACGGCACTGACTGCTACGAATTAGTGCTGGCGGAATCAGGTTTCACTCTCGAAGTATCATCCAAAAGACCATTCATCGATTTGTAGCAGGGAGTAAAAGCCCTAGTTGTGCATATCAGTGGATATTGCCGCTTCCGGGTTTCAGGGTTGTACTTGCATGTCAGAACTGTGGGCACTATAATGACGCAAGAAGACTCGGTTATTTCTCGGGTGTCGTGCTATCAATCAATCATACGAGATTTGGAACCCTTTTTTACATTCTATGATTGTATTCAATCTCAATCCATCCAAAACCACTCGATTGTTACCAATTCTACACTCAGTCTAGGCATTTGACAGGGCGCCCCGAAAATATTATATACAGATGTAATATATAAAAACAATTCTATCCCAATAAGAAACCCTCAAGGCACATTGTCTAAGCTCGAAACAACTAGTGTTCAAATATCAAAAGTGTGAGAGTGAATGTTGATAGTTGAAACTTTCCATGTCTTTCCGTTGTCGGGTGTGGAGAGACCAGTCGAGTCCGCCTCGTTGATAGATAAGGTATCTCCAAAGGACATATCCGCCGCATTCAAGACAAGGGTAGTCGATAGATACTCTGTTTATATTGATTAAACTCTGCGTCATTGGGCAAACCAGACTGGAAGACTTACTGTGGGCAGCTACTGTACTCTTACAGGCATCCGCTTGGCATTCGACTGCAGTTCCCCATCCCTGAGCTTGACCGGATTCTGCAGAGCGTCAGTTCAGGCTATTTCAATAATCAATGGGGTATTCGGGCGTATGCCTACTTGTGGATAAAGTAGAGATGACCTTTCCGTTGATGGAAACGCTTTGGTCATATTCGGCAGTGCTGTCGTTGTATACGTCTAATGTGAAGTCAATTTGAAGCTCAACCACCGTCCTCTCAACATAATATGATCTTACAGTGCATAACAAGCTCGTCTCCGGCAGATGCTGGAACCTGATCTCCGCCAAGTTGTGTGCCTACTTTCAAGTCAGCGATATTGAACAAGAGTCTTCTCTTGAAAGTGAAACCAGACCTTGGAGTGTACTAGCCCAGGTACACCATTGTCCTTGACTGGCGCCACAGTTTCTATATCATGGTTATTCACGAATCCTCACATTGCTTATGCCGATGTCAGAAGAAACATACGCTTTGGGATCTGCAAATGAAACCGCCAAGGCCTGGATGAGATCTCCTCCGCTAGTGCTCATTCCCGGCCACAATGCAAGACGGTCAAGTGCACCTGGAACCTCGGGCAGTACCAAGGTGGTTTTTGCTTCACGAATCCAAGACTTGGTAGGACCGAGGGAGAAGAACGGTCCGAAATTGATGGTGTCCCGCGCACTGACGGAGTCCAGAGTGGCTAGAAGGACAGGAATTGCAAAAGTACTGAACTGGCGCATGGTGGCGTGGATCACTTTGGAAGTTATGAGCTGGTTGAATGAAGTGAGAGTGTTGCAGAGTCATACGAATGGTCTTAGGGCAGGCTGGAAAACGCTGGGTTTATATAGTGTAAGAAGGCAGAAGGCGGGAAGGGAAGCCTTTCATGAAACCCCGGGTACTAGCTAATTTCCCTGCTGCTCTTTCTGAAACTATTCTGAATCAAAATACTACACTTACTAGGTAGTTGAGCAATCTTGTCTGAAAGTGGAAAATTCAGCGCAAACCCAAGACAGCGAGGTCCCGCAGGCCCGCGAGGTGAGCTCGCGGGACCCCGTGAAAGTTTTCGCAGAGAATATTGGCACTTGGAAGCTAGCTTTAGAGATCCAAAATGATCAGTGCAAGTGCCATGAATTGGACATCGGCATGGGAACAACCTCTTAGTCTGGATTAAGCATAAACCAAGACCTGCTGGTTTGGAGCTCCAGTTTCAACATCTATATCAGAGCATGCCTAAACCATTGGACCAAAAGGTCACTATGATCAGACCTGATGGTCTGATCCGCCCGAGTCCCGCCTTACATCTAAGTAACGCCGTGATAATCGATTGGTTTAACTTTCCGGAAACTCAAAATCAGACCCGCTATTATTTTTAGACCCTGGAGATTGAGCACTCATAATTGTTTAACTTGCGCAGAAATATCATACAAGACATATAGAGGTTTGTTGTAGCTCTAGTTGGCATATATATAAAGCTATAATTTGATATTTTACTTGCAACCTGTAACCTGGCTTGTCTCGTTAATAGGGTATACTTCGCTGCTGCCTGAATACATGTTTGTGCCTGGGGCATCTGCATGACTCATCAACATTCCGGAATAGGCATAGACCTCCCGTCATTCCGGCTTGGCATACCCCATCAAAATCTTCTCTCCGACTCTTCAACGCGGGGAAATGAGCTTAAGCCTAACTTCCTCTTTTATGTATCTTGATGCGGTTCAATTAAATATCAAAGATTCATCATAATAATTCAGACGAACTTCCCCAAGTGAACTTGTGGTGCGTTTCGAATGCTGGTGTTAGTAACTAATGGAAAGATAATATGAACTGCTCTTCATTTGATACAGAGAGGGCACAGAAATCCAATCATCTGTGTGTTCGTAGCTATTTCATGCGTGGGAGAAAAAAAGAAAAAAGAGACACTAGGCTGTCAATACCCGATATCGAGAGGTAGGGACCGACAGAATCATGTTTGCTGTTGGTCTTCCGCGGCATTTGTCCATGGGGGTTGAGAGTTTATCCCGCATTAAGAACCGCCAAGGTCTGTGAGTAGATCCTCTCAAGGGAGTATCCATGATGAGGCGGACACTATGGTCGACCAAGATCATGCCCAGAGCCTCAAGGAAGACCATCGACCATCTACAGCGCCGGAGATCAGCACTGTATGGATTAATGGAACTGGATCGAATCAACGAACGCTGATCAAAATGGCCAAACTGCTCCGTATCATCGGCCGAGCCGTGGCGTGAATGACCCCTTTCCACTGAAGCTGTTTGTGGCGTGGACTGGACCGGAAGTGGGATGACTGACTGAGGTTATTCGACCGGCTGGGTTTACATTTTGTGGTTCCGCGTATTCTAATATTGGCAGTCATACAAATGCACTATGAAAGTGATATAGTTAGTTTCTATCTCCGCCGCTTCAAACACCACGCCTATCTGCTGACCCTGCGAATGCGAATGCTAAACACAACCTTATTACATTCTGTAATATTTTGTGCATCAGAATGTGACAATATTCCAAGTTATAGACGAGTTGATTGCTACCTGAAGCTTGCGAAGCATGATATCATGGGCAGATCATGGAGATCCATGGAAAACCCTCCCATTCCCGTGCCCTCCACCAGTTAACCAAAGATCATCTTGGGAGTATCCAGTCCGTTCAAGCTTTTTTTTAAAAAAAAAACATCCACTGATTGTAGTGTTGATTCACAAACTTTTATGTCGGGAACTATTACGTCAATTGTCTAAGGTTGGTGCCCGAGAAGTCGCCGAAGTTGGGAGGTTGTGCTCATGCGTACCTAGGTATCAAGGAGCACACAACCGCCTTCGGCGCAAACAGCTATGTACTATATAAATTAAATCTGGAAGATTACTGAGGTTTGAATCTTCAAACTGATCTACCAATTCAAAACTATTTTGTATCATCATGGTGTTTATGGACTATGCACAAACAATGGACTTGAGGAGGGAGTTGGAAGGAACTAGGGCCGAGGTGATCTGTTTGGGCTCTGATACCTACGCTGAAAGTATCCGCAGATGGAGCGATACATGTGAAAAAGAAGCAGTACGCTATTTCACTCGTGAAGAATCAATTTGCCAGGGCTTGAGCTTATACCATCCAGGGCGCTGTTGTTAACGTCAGATCGACAGATGAAGTCGCGATTGTGGTCAACTTTGCGCGAAGGAACCATGTAGAATTTGTTGCAGAAGGAGGCGGCCACTCCACCACGGGGGCATCTGCCACCCATGGCGGGATTGTTATCAGCATGACCAAGATGAGAAAGGTATTGACGGATCCTGCTTCCAAGACAGTTTGTGTCCAGGGAGGTGCCACCTGGGACGAAGTCAACCAAGCGACAGCACCACATAGACTCGCCGTGGTAGGGGCCACCGCCAGCCGAACTGGAGTCGGAGGATCAACGTTGGGTGGAGGATATGGTTGGCTGACGGGACGATATGGTCTCATAATTGATAACCTGATCAGCGTGAAGATGGTCCTGGCGGACGGTAGCGTGGTCGAGGCGTCTGAAAATGCTCATAAGGATCTCTTCTGGGCAATTCGCGGTGCTGGACAAGCGTTCGGGGTCGTTACGGAGTTTGTTTTCCAAGCTCACGACCTCCCTGATGAAGTCTTTGGGGGTCTACTATACTTCACAGTGGACAAACTCCCGAATATTGTTGACTTTGCGAACTGGTTCCATGAGATGCAGGATGAAAACAGTGGGTTATTTTTCGGGTTCACGGCGCCTTCTGCTGTCGATCAGTCAGTTGTTATGGCAATACCGTTCTACAATGGGACTCGTCAAAAAGCCGAGATCTTCTTCGCACCGCTACTGGCGTTGCATCCGGTCCTGAACAAGACGGCGATGATGTCTTATGTTGACTTGAATCGAATTTCCAATGTCGATCCAAGCCCAGAGGGCCGCAAGTGCGTTAGTGGTGCTAATATAGTATTTCCCGTGGAGACTATGCTCGTTCACCAACTCTGGGGCCAGTTCGATAAGATCATGGAAAACCACCCAAGGATGGGACATAGCGTGCTTGCATTTGAGCTGATTCCTTATGGCAAGGTAATCAGCGTGCCGATTGAGACAACTGCTTGCGCCAATCGAGGACGGTTTTATAATGTGGGATTGTTGCTAGTTTGGTACGATCCGGAGCAGGATTCGATCATGCGTCTATATGAACGCTCTATTATATCCAAGATTGAACACGCACAATGCGAGGAGAGACTGGAAGATAATGTTGACGCATATCCTAACTATGCTGGTAAGTTCTATGACTCTTATAGAGATCATGGTGGGTGCGCTAAATATTTGCAGGGCATGAAGTTGGTGCAAAGTACCTGTTCGGTTCTAATTTACCGCGGCTTCAGGAGCTAAAGAAGATCTATGATCAACATAATGTATTCCACAAGTGGCATAACTTGCTGTCCCATACAGAAGTTCGCCCTGTATAACATGGGGTTTGATTGGGGTGGTTCGGGCTTCCAATCCAGTAAGAGGTTACCTGGTTCCTGAGTATCGGTACAGGTCTAAGCCTCAAAAGGAGAACAAGGTATGGATTCTAGGAACCTCACCAGAATATGTTTTCCATTCAAACTACGCACTAAAAGCTATACTTACTGAAGAAGTGGGTGTTTCGGAAGACAAAAGGCCAATTAATTCCGTGCACAGTGTAAAATGTGTTCTAGAAGAGATTTCATGTTCTACTAGTCATGCGTGAATAGTCAATATATGCAAAACTGACATCATTAACTGTAGTTCATCTCCAAGTTTGGTCACATTGCGCGAGGAGTAGCATAGCCACACCGTCCGTCTTCTCCATCACTGGTGTCATAGCGGCGAGAACTCTGGAGATCTAGATAGACTCGACGATTATTCTATCTGTGACATAAATGTCGTATGGGGGTCAAGCATGTGGATAGTGCCGCGTCACCGTTCATAGCTTTTCGTCTGTTTACGGGAACCGGGTTTGCATTCGTTGCTTAAAAATCTCAAGGAGTGGGCGTTTATACACACATCTCGCAAGCCCTTAGCAGCCTGTAGAATGATGCATTGTGCAATCGACTTATTAATTCAACTGCGACGCATTTATCTACTTATTCTATCTTCAAAGACACCCGACAAAAGTAAAAGAAAAGGTAAAGCAAGTAGACTAGTATACTAAGCATGTGTAGAGCTTGCACAGTATCCCCTAGCGATTCTGGAAGAGCCCCAGATGGGAGTTGTATTAGACGATAATGCAACCTCCGTACCTCCCCTGGAAATCTCCCGCTTAATTCTGGTATGATCTCGAGGCTCAGATAACGAACGCACTGATTGAGTCAGGGGCCCATTTCTGAATATAATCTTTCCATGCATGACGGCTGAATTTGGAGCCCTGCTTCTGTTTTTGAATTGCTCAGAAAATTTTGTTGAGGAAATGGCTTAGTCGGTCCCTCTTTAAAAACAAAAACCTTTTAACGGTTGGAAAACTTTTGGAATAGTAATTAGTGAATACTGACTCCTTCACCCATAAAATTTCTCCGAGTCGTAGCCCGCTGGCCAACCGGGTTGGTTGACTTCAAACCCACAGGCCGGATTAGGTAGAGGCTAGGAGATAGTTTCTGGAAAGTGAAGCCTTGCACTCCACCTGATACATACTCTTCTTGCTCTAGTCAAAAAAAAAAAAAAAAAAAAAAAACTCTTTTTTAAGGGCTAGATTTCTAGGCTTCAAGATGCAACAAGAGTCACTCTGGCTCGGGGAGTTTGAGATGAACTTCAAATACGTTTTTGATATCAACTTGCGGGATTAGAGGTTTTGTCAACATAGACCTGAGCCTTATATGCGCAGAGTTAATGTATAAATTGAGACCCAAAAAATTGGGACAGATATGTTGTCACCTAAAGTGTCGATGTGACCACCGGACAACAATTTTTATGATGGTCTGTGCTTTACCTGACCAATAGCACTATATGGACTACGCTGGCAGTAGGCGGAATTCAATTCTGCACCCTTTCGGTCTTGTTAGGAGTAATTTAGGAAAGCATCAGGGTATTAAGGTGGTGGATAACAACTGTGGCTGAGCTGGTTAGCGCTTTTAGGGTTGGTCATCGGGGACAAAAAAGACGACATTTCGCAAGGCAAGGCATGCATTTTCGCCTTTTCATTCCGAAGGGGGAATTTACGGAGTAGTACTCCGTATTTAGCTCCTCTTAGAGCCGCAGTAAGGGTTTTTGTACTCCGTAGGACAAGTCAAATCTTAACTGTTCGACGGGGCTTCTCACGGTTCCCTTTTAGGTAATCGTCGTATTCGCCCGCACAGGGTCCATCCATATGGTAACCATTTGTTTTCTTCTAGCCAATCATCTCAAGCGTAGGGCGGCGAGATAGATGCTGGTCAGCACAGCCCACGAGCAGAACAGACTATTACCTTTGGAATCAAATGTTCAGAATAACGTCAGGGTTACTAGCAGAGCAGCCATGGCTTGACCTTTTGACTACACTCGACATTTCATATAAATAATACTCCCCGCTCCTTGTGTTATGCTTGACGGTCAAAACATCCATCGTCTTGTACTACACCGCGAAAATACTTGTGCCAATGGCCTACTATCTATACAAGAAGATCAAGGCGTCCAGGGAAGCTTCTAAAGCTCAACCCTCCAACCCGCTCTCCAACGAAACGAAGCCAGCATGCCCCCATGTAGCCCAATCACGACATGCACAAGTCTTCAATCCAACAGAGGGTAACGAGCTGCGTGATTTGGCATCAATTTCATTGACAGGTGCTCCCCGAGAGAGCCAGCCCCCTAGGTCCAGCACGTCCGAATGTGCTTTTTGCAAAGAGGAGGTGCGCCGGAGACGAATCTATAGGTGGAAGGTTATCCTCGGGTTGTTTCTACCGTACATGCTTGCGACAATTGACTTGACAATTGTTGCCACTGCGGTTCCTTCCATCGCGTCGCATTTTGGTTTGTGACACTGCCTAAGGAGCGCCCAATAGAATATCACGTTAACTCAAAGATAGGCCAGCTTAACCAACTAAGCTGGATCATTACGGCATTTACCTTGACCTCCACCACGTTCATACCCACATTCGGTCAGCTTGCAGATGTTTTTGGTCGCCATGCTACCCTCCAGGTCGCCTTGTTCCTCATGCTCATCGGGAGTACGCTTTGCGCCGCTGCACAGACGTGGGGTATGCTTCTGTTTGGGCGAGCGCTTCAGGGTATGAGCTCCGCGGGCCTCATGAACATCATCATGATCATCCTGGCGGACAGGGTTTCACTGAACGAGAACGCAAAAAACAATTCAATTTTTGCTTTTGTCGGCGGCGTTGGATACTCGATCGGCCCAGTTGTCGGAGGGTAAGTTCACATTCATATCTACATATCTTTCAGAGCGAGTTCTAACCCTTATTTTTCTAGTTACTTGACTGATGTACGTACCGTGAATATTGACTTGGTGATCCCCAACTAACTCTCGCAGGCGAATTGGCGATATTGTTTCGTTATTTCTATTGCAGTACGCTCCCTTTGCTCCCTCAAATACAGAGATTCATAACTAATTAGGGTTAGATCGCGTTTGCCTCCCATATAATTATCCACATACTGCTCCGCAACGAACTCGTGGAAGGAACCTATTTCCGAAAGGGCTCGCGTCGCTCCTCTTTCTTACCGGCCCTTGCTACCCTTGACTTTGGTGGCGCCATTCTTTTCATTTTAGGTGTCGGATTGATTGTACTTGGGATATCATGGGGTGGCTCTACCTACCCTTGGAAATCGGCCAAGGTGCTGGCACCACTGGTTGTTGGAGGCATTTGCTTCGTTCTGTTTTTCGTTTACGAGTATCTCCTGGAACAGGGCAGGATGTTTGCTCGCATCTTCCCCAGCCAATCGCCAATGTTGCCGTACAGCTTGTTTAGCCGGTTGGACACCTTGTGGCTGGCCGTGCTCCAGTTCGCTACAGGCGCAGCCATGTACTCCGTTTTCTATTACGTCGGGGTATACTTTACAATTGTAGAGGACTACGCTACGTCCAAGTCTGGAGTCCAGCTGCTTTTTTATATCCCTGGACTTGGCGGTAAGACCCAGCTTGACCTGTCTGTTGAGAAAGTATCCCAATGCTAACTAACAATTCAATATCCACAGCTGGTGTGTATATCGCCATGTTCATGTGCAACATACGACCAGCACAGACCTTTTTCCCACTCACCCTGGGAACCTTCCTCGAAACTGCCGGCTTAGCTGTCATGACCTGGGGAATCCATGCCCAGAAAACCGGCGTAATCAATGCAATGATGGTCATCGCCGGAGCCGGGACAGGAATTCGTCTGATGCCAGGAAACTTGCACGCGGCAGGGGTGTGGCCGGACCGTATTGCAGCAGCATTGTCTCTGATGAGATTTGCTCAGCCGTTTGGCGGTACAGTCTCAATCAGCATCATGGGCTCGGTATATAACAACAAACTCGGAACATTCGGTGGATTGACCTCCGGCGATAGTACGGGCTCTAGCAGCACTGACTCTCTGTCTGCAATTGATAGTCTACCATCCTCAGTGCAGGTTATTATTCGGAGCTACGCACGCGAGGCTATCATGTGGGCATATATTTCTATCCTGCCTATCCTCGGAATCAGCGTGATTACGGGTCTCTTTTTGGGAAATGTCTGGATTAACAAGAGGAAGAAGTCTGAAGAGGTGGAAAGTAACAATGGCACCGTCGAGGATGATTCGTACAGTGAAGTAATTTACGTGCCCTATCTATATGCTCTGTTTACGGTATGTTGTCTCATTCAACATCTTGCTAGGAGGCAACCTTACTAACATTCTAGAAGGGATCGATTGAGAGGCACAAACATATCAGCAGGCCAGTGCAGCACAATACTCTGTCTCCTGATTCTTGAGATTCACAGGCCCTCTTGGTCCTTGGAGGCTTTTTGGTACCCAATCGTGCGCTGGAGCTGCAAAGCAACCACTTTTGCATTTTATGTATACTTATACTGCTTTTTGCCAATGTTATAATCAAATTTAATTTCTGTGTTCCTCAAAAATGTTCAGTATTTGAATTCAGGTTTTAGAACAGGCTATGTTGGAGTGCTGCACTCAGTGAATGCAACCAGCACCACCATAAAGCAGCATCACCATAAAGAAGAAGTGTCGGATATATGATGATCCTAGGGGTAGCTCAATGGAAGCAGGTGATTGGATATATTGATGTGTGTGTCTGTTGGGGGGTTGTGTGCTTGCCTAAGGCCTTAATATAGGGTAATAACCCCCCTTTACTTACTAAATACATCACAAGATATGCCTTTAATTTAATACACCCCCTTAGGTTTAAAGGATTTTATCTAGTTTAAATCTATAATTATATAATTTAAGACGCTATCCTTATCCTAGATAGGTTTAAACTATATCTAGTAATAGATTATCTATTAACTTTAGTCTCTCTACTATCCCTAAATCCTTTATAAATACCTTAAAACTTTAGTAGGGTAGTATCTTGGTTAACCTATTTATAATTATCTTAGTAATAGGATAATATAATACTTTTATCCTTCCCTTCTAGGCTTCCTGCCTAATCCAGTAGTTGTAGATATTTACATAGTATAATCTTATATTTAGGTAGTTAATTTCTTTATTTACTAGTTAGATAATTTGCATGTTATTATATTAAATATTAATAATTAGATTCTCTAACTCTACCTAGATTTTATTTAATAAATATTTAATAAAGATTCCTTCTTTTACTATATATAATAATACTAATAATTCTACTTTAGTTATAGAGATTATTATAGTTACCTACTTACTAGCTTTCTACCCTATTATACCTCTAAATAATTTTATAATATACCCCTACAAGCTTCTCTAGTCCTAATTATCTATAAATAAGGCATTACTATATAATAGGTAGTTATCTAAACCTCTAAGTTATAGGGTGAGTTTATTCATTCTTTTTAAATATTATAAATATTAATCTGCTTTAATATAATATTCTTTGCTAGGGTTTATAAGATACTGGGATAGCTAGGATACTATAAATATAATATCTAGTCAAGTCATGACTATTATATATATTATAGATCCTACCTTCTATTAATATTATTAGGTATATAGGTAAGATACTCTATCTTAATCTTTTTAAGGTACTATTTTTGCTAATATAGGAATAGTATCTAGACCTTCCTTTTTATCTACTAGATTAGTAATCTTATTAATATATACTAACTAACCTAGCTAGATAAGCCTATTCTCTTTATCTTAGGTAATCTCTATTCCTAGGAACCATTATAAGTCATTTCCTCTTATTATCTTAAACTAGTCCTGAAGCTCTTATATAGTAGCCTATATTTATACTAATAATTTTTAATAATAGGCAAATATAATATTATTTATATAAAAAAATATTAGGATCCTATCTCTAGTAATATAATATAGTTTATATAAGATAGGTTTATATCCTAGTAACTTTAGAATCTTTTAGAGAGTTATCTACTATAGGTAAGGGAATTATTTAAGTCTATATAATACTTTCTTTAACTTTAATATTTTACCTAATTTTTAATATTCTAAAAGTATTTCTATATATATTTCCTTATTATTATCTATATTAATAAATATATTTATAATATTATATTACTTTAATTCTAGATTAAATCAGGCTACTACTACTAGGAAGATTTAGAGAGATCTTACTACTAGAATTATAATATATAGGTTCTTTATTAAATTCTCTTATTAATCTCCTCTTACTACTAGGTATGCTTTACATTTAATTAGATTACTACCTTAATTACTTTTATATATATATACCTATTTATATTCTAGTACTTTTGCATACTTAAGTCTATCTACCTCTATCTATATTTTTATTATTTTATAGCTAGCTAGGTAGTCTTACTCTACCTTTATAAATTCTTTGGATAGTAAGTAGTTTTTAACTTGGTAGTGTATCTTTAGAAAGGTTAGTAGCTAATCTAGGTAGGTCTTAATTAGATTCTCTAATTATCTATTCTATCTTTGTATTTCTACCTTAGAGGCTAATATTCTATCTTATTAGGTTAGTTATATTAACCTCCCTGCCATGAATACTAATTTCCATATAATTTAGTAGCTTCCATTTAGCTCAGTTTCTTCTTTAGTTTTAGCTGTCTCATATTAGTAAGCACCTGCTAACATTACTGCTAACTATTCTAGGCTGCTGCCTAGTAGTATTAGATAGGCTGTTCACTTATTTATATTAGTATCCTTATCCTTATCCGCGGCTTCAAGTACTGATCTTGACATTTAAACTAGATAATCAAGTAAGTCAAAATTACCTTCCAGAATATCCTCTATTATAGAGTAATCTATATTTAATACTCCTTAGATTAGAATATAGATTTTAACTTTAATATCCTTAATTATTTATTTAAATTTATTAATTTTAATTATCAGGAAGTTATTCTTTATTACTTAGATAAATATATCTCTATTTCCTAAGAAAAATTCTTCCTTATTAAATATAATATCTCTTATATAGATAATCTTCCTTTCCTTTCTTAGGTTCTATATTTAATAGATATTAGTAAATTTATATCCTACTATATATTCTATAAATACTCTTAAGTTAAACTACTTTTTATACTTTACTATTATAATTACTTATAATTTAATTATTATAAATATCTTATAACTATATACCTTTAGATAAGCTCCTTAAGATTTCTTGTATTCTACTACTACTCTATCTTAGTAGGCAATATAGGTATAGAATTAATTAATTAGTATTTTCTATCTTACCTAATATTTAGGTATTTAATTATATAGGTATACTACTACACAAATATATTCAGGTTATAAAAATATAGGTAATTTTACTCCCTATCTTATTATATATATTTTTTTTTTTATCACACCCCCTAAGTACTTTATACCTCTATTTTAGGCTAGTATATATAGAGTAGAGCAATCAAGTCTTGCTCCTTTAGATTATATAAAGTCTTCTAATTATCTCTTTATCTCACTATCTAACTTAATTATTTAGGATTTGATATTATATTACCTCTCTAGAAGAGTAAATAAATTAAGTAGGGTATTTTCAATTATCTTTATATATTAGTCTAAGAGGTAGTAATCCTATATAAAACCTAACTACCTATCTATAACTAATAATAAGGCTTAATAGTTATCTATCCCTATTTTAAAGTTATAAAAGTTAATTACTAACTACAGACCTGGTCCTTCCATAATAATATAGTCCTTTTAATTAATTCTTTACTTTATTTTTACTATACCACAAGCATCATATTCTACTATAGTAGGTCCTCTAATCCTTACCCCCTTAGCATTCTTAACTAGGTAATCTAATACCTGTAGTCCTAGATATCTAAGGTATAAATACTACTATTTTATATCTCTAATACTAGTAATAATTTAAAATATTGCCTGGCCTGTTATACTATATAATTTATTATTATATTTTATTATAAATTAGTTATATTTCTTATCAAGATAGGCTGCTACTATACCTTTAGAGGTATAGAATAGGTTAAAGTTAGGATTATTCTTAAAATAAATACCTATTTAGTTTAGTAATATAAGTAATACTAGGTTATATACTATTTCTTTATAATAAGCTATATTCTTAAAAATTATATAGCTATATTTTATACCTTTATCTTTTTAAATTATAACCTATATACTAATATTTTTATATCTTATAATAGGCACTTTTAAGTCTCCTGCCTATATATAGTTATCTTATATTAATTTTATATACTACTTAAATTAATATAAATTATTAAATATATAAATTAATAATCCTAAGTTAAAAATAATAAAGTACTATAATAAATATAATATAGTTTTAAATTAGGTATTAAATAAAGCTTTAACTTTACCTCTATTCCTATCTTTTATTTAACCTACTCCTTAATTACTTCTTCCTTCTAGTTATTTTAAATCTTATTTATTTTATTCTTACTCCTTTACTACCTTTTTAATTAGGGCCTTATTTATCTTAAGTTATATATTAACTAGCTTCCTTATTATACTCCTTTCCTTAAAGTCCTTAAATACCTTTTCCAGGAATAAATAAAAGTATTATATCTATTTATATCTTTAAGAACATATATTATATAACTAATATAAGTCCTTAGAAGTGCTCCTTTTAGAGTCTATTCTTCCTATATTATTATATCTATACTTATATTTTATTTCCTTATCTTATAGCAGGGATATTTCTTTATCACTAGTTATATCTATTATATCTTTAGTAGCAAATATTAGTCTAAAAGCCCCTCTACTAGTCTTATTATACTGCTACAGGAATATATTAATAGTATCACGGAAGTTATTTACTACAGTATAGAATAATAATATTCCTGCTAGTATCTCCTTCTTATAGTCTAACCAATAAGATATAGTCTAGAATAGAGCTAGGTAATATATTATATTTAGGAAGTCTTTTACCCAGTCTAGTAATAATATTATAACTCTAAGGTTTACTTTAATTACCTGTTAAATAGCAAATTCCTAGTTATTTAACTAACTAACTAGATTACCTTTTAGGGGTTAGATTACTTTTATATAGGTATTATAGGCTATATTTTAAATTTATCTTTAATTAACTACTATATACTCTTTTAGTTTAAGGTACTACTTCTCTAGGGTTTTTATTAGCTTGCAGTAGAAATAGTAAATCTTTAGGAAAATAGTATATTAAACCTAATCTTTTAGTTTCCTAAATTCTATAATCTAATAATTATACTTATTTATTTCTATTTTATAGAGTACTACTTCAAAATTAAAGTCTTGTAATAATACTATAAAACTCCTAGTATTATTTACTAGTAGAGTTTCTCTACTATCCCTAATTAGTCTAGTAAATTATTATAGACAACTCTCACTACCTTCTATTATTTCCTACAGATTATTATCTCTTGCCCATGCTTTAAACAAGGATTACTATATTAGCCAGTCTTCCTGCTTAGTAAGCCTTACTACATTATCTTTATTATTAGTAGTTGGAGGCATTATGCTCAGTATTTTACCAAT